GTTAGAGAAAGATCATGGTTTCTGTTAATAACTAACAGTTTGTTACGCATGGGACATAAGAACGTCATGTGTAGTCATGTAGTAGTGTAGTCATGTAGAAACTTAACATGGCGTAGTTAGGTGATTCTTTAACCATCATAATTCTGTCAGAAATAAAAAAGATAGATCAGTCATCTTACTATATAATGACAAAATCTCTGTGTGTGTGTCTGTGTGTGTGTCTGTTCCATGTTTTTCTCCTCACTGACTTGTTTGACCGATCTGCATGAAACTGGGTGAACATAATCTAGGGACCAATATCTAAAGTTCCCTCTTGGCAGAAGTTGGAAAACTCACTAAAACTGAGCTTCTATAAGGCAATGAATATTGCAGAGGGCGTGGCTCATCACATAAAGGTGTATAACATCTCAAGGGTTTCACCCATCACCAAGCAACTTTGTAGGCATATGACCACACATAATCTGAGGGGACCCCACCATTATTGACCCCATCAAACAAAATGGGGGCGCTAGAGAGCTAATTTCTTATCTAGGCCTAACAGCCATATCGATTTTTACTAAACTTGGTAGATATGTAGAACAGGAAGCATCAAGGTGACTGGAGAAATTTAACTCTTATTGGCAACTGGGTGGAGCTATAACAACAGAAAAATGCTTAAAAATGGCTAAAATGCGACTGATCGCTGTGGCTCCCCCTGTGGACCAATGTTGTTGTTTTTTTTCTAATTTTTGGTATGACTAAGTCATGGTATGGTATGCTGTACATAATCACAGAAACTGTCAGTGTGTCATTCTGTCAGTCAGTCATTCTGTCTGTCCCATGTTTTTCTACTCACTGACATGGTCAATATATGTGAAACTGCACATAGGCATTGAGGATTGGCATAGGTAGAAGGTGACAAAGCTACCAATGGGTATGGACTAGTTATTTCTATTTTATAAAAAGCTACCTTTAAGGTGTGTTTTTTGCTTTATGTTTTCTTTGTGCTTGAGCCAGAGTTTGGATATCCAACTCTGCCTAATGTTGAATTTAATATTGATCTAATATCAACTTCAAATACAAATGACAAACACATAAACGCCCAATTTAAAGAAATGAAACATGTCTTGTAAGATATATTAGTACAGTAGTATATTAGTATTTTTTGTTTATAAAAAGCACCTGGGGGTGTGTGAATCATCCATGTTTTAGAATTTGTAGCTCCTTTGCAGCAATATCCAAACTTAAGGTATTGTCAACGGTCAGGGCTACTAGTCTGGACAGACATGGATGTAAATGTAACTTCACCATGACTGACTCTCAGAGGCATACAACCCAAAGTATAATTCTAGTTTCACCTAGTTTATCAATGCTTTAAAAAAAAATTCTGACACTCAGCTGCCATGACATTTTGTGATAGCCTACTGATGCAATGGCTAAGGCAAAGAGATAACCTCTTTAGCTAAAGCCAGCTAGAGGTCATGGTCATGTACGTGACATCAAAGACAAGACCAGACAAGAAATATGCACATGCACCAAGTGGACAGGGATGTGAATTACTTAAAGTTATGGTAGATTGTCTTCAGTGTTCTAATCTGTACAAATGACTATGACTTTAGGTTTTTCATTCACTGTTAAATATACATCAGTAAATGATGGAAACTGTTCAGTTAATGTGGCCTCTGGCTGCTACTTTTAGATCATCAAATTTATTTTGTAAATGATGTGTTGGATGTCAGTGGAGATTATGACTTAAAGTCAATAAGTCACTTCAAAATATAGGAATTATACAAGGCACTGCTATCAGCTGTTGTCTGTCTACAATACTTTATTGTGGAGAACTCTGATAAAAAAAATCTCAGGATAATTTAGATGTTTGTCACCATTAGAAATAATAAATAGCAAATTGTAAAATCAACTCTGACATGTACATGATTGTTTTATGTCCTCTTAAAACATAACCTCTTATCTATGTCATGTATGCATATTTAAAAATGTGTTTGATACTCCTATTCCTTAATTAAAATGTTTCAGGTCTATTAACCGCTCATCTTCTTTCACTTATTTTTGGGCTTTCCAGCTATTTTTTTTTTCATAACATAAGAACCAGAAAAAAAACTACGGAGAATTACCGAGGATAATACTTTGTGCTGATGAGGAAAATGACATTCTGTCTTTATTTAAGTATTTTACAGATGTTGCATTGTTTTGGCAGCGGATGGCAGATTGGTTTTCAAACAAGCAATCCTTTTACATTTATCTCCCTTTTAATATCATTTGGGGTTTTCACCATGATCTTAATATTACTTATATTTTGTACTTATGTTGGTTAGATTGACGAATATTTATTATCTCTTACATTTGTACCCTATTCTATGTGTAAATATGTTTTTGTTTTTTTTAAGTATGCACCATTTAAGGACACATTTGCAATTTGGTTCTGCTTGTGTAATGACAATAAAGTTCTTGAAAAAATCTATCTCTGAATTCCATCATTTTATCTCTCAAACATCATCATTTACAGGAAAACACAATTATGAAAGGCAGAGCTCAAGTATGAGACATGGAAAATCTTTTACACATCAGACTGTGTAAAAGAATCATGTTGGCTGTACATATCATTTGTTGGTTACTGTAATACCAATTCATTGTGTAATGTTTAGTAATTGTAATCATGCAGGGTACATTTCAGCATTTCATTATGTTATAAGCATAAACACACAAACACATTCTATTTCACAAAAATAACTTTATTTGGTGAAAAAATACAGTACAACATTAACAATGGACTTCAGATTCATAAAGAGTCTGAATTCAATACACTGCAATGAGAGAGCAGTTCAAATTAGTTTGAGGATTTTTGCCCTCCATCAATGATGACATAAACAAAGTAACAGATTAAACAGATTAATTTAGTGCTAATACAAGTTCTGACGTACTTCCTATCATTTGTCAATAGACTGTTAAATGTCTCTCTTTGTGAGGGCCTTAAAAATACTACAATTTTAAAGGCAGCGGTTTGGTTTCAAGAGGGGACACAGTATATTATGTACCAAAAGCACTCAGTAAAGCAAGACAATATCAGGGGAGCAAAATGTACCTCCACTAAAGTTAGTTCTAAAATAAAAAAACAAAACAAAATAAAACTTAAAAAACAGGAGTGAGGTAACATGCAAGAGACAGTCCGAGTCCAAGTGAGATGAACCAAAGTGAAAGCCTTTAGAATGCATAACATACAAAGTCCACCATGAGTGCAGGGGAAGGAGCAATGCTGTCCATAATCAAACATGAAAAAGCCTGCATCCTGTCCACCTCGCCATTACACATTAGCAACAGCACACCGACATCTTTGAGACTGCCTTGCTTTCCAGCTCCATGACAACCACCTAGTGCTTTAAAGGTGGACTTGAATTCAGGAGGGTAGTTTAGGTTCAAATAAAATGACAGCCACAAATACAGTTATCCATATCTTGCAACATCATCTTGCTCTTGTGGACAGTTCCAATGTCCTCTGGTGTATACACCACCATCCTTGTCTTTGATGACATGTATTCCTTCGGTGGTCTTCTCAATGGATCCCTGGATGACAGCTTTATGATCAGATTGCACATACACAGAAAAAACAATATGAGATCAAATAAAATACATAAAATCAGAATGTACACTTGCGAAATGAGGGGACAGGGTCTAAAGGAAGCCATTTCAAGTATCACAAAATATTCATACTGGTTTAAATAAACAATGTGATTGTATTTCCCATCTTTGTTGAGCAACAGTTTTGTGGGAAAGGAATTAAAGGCCTGTCCCACACAGAGGATAAAATCCACGACGTTCTACAGTTCACACGACAATAACACGAGGCTTCAACAGTCTTGAGTTATAAAATCATGTGGTTATCTTCCAAAGTACCTTTTTTTAGTACCAAAAAGAACAATGGTAAATGGATGCATCCTGCTCTTTATACTGTTCCTAATGTCCTATAATAACTTCTGGGCATGCATGTTTTAGCTACCACGCCCCAAACATATGGAACACCCTGTCTTTAAATATTAGACTTTCTGGCTCAGTGGACAGTTTTAAACAACAGCTCTTGAAAGCTGGAAGCTAGAAAGCATTTATTGTCTATTGGCTGTGGTAAACCTTATTTGATTTTTGTCTTATTTAGTGTGCTGATGGCTGTGGGAGAGAAACTGTCTCTGAGTCTGGTGGTTTGTGTTTTGGCAGCTCTGTAGCACCTGCCAAATGGCAACAGTTTAAAGAGTTGGTGACCAGGGTGAGAGCAGTCTTTAATGATGCTTTTTGCTCTGCTGATGTAGTGGTTGCAAGTTCCTCAGCATGAAGTGGCAAGTCCTTCAACTCAAAACCCATCTTTTTAATACAGCCTAAAACTAGCACTTGTCTGTTTTCATAGGCTATTTAATGCCTACCCCCCCTAATTTCTCATTGAATGAGTGTTGTATAATTGCATGATTTTATCTCTTCGCTGTGTTTGTATCTGCTGCTGAATTGTAAAGCACTTTCTGCATGGAAGGTGCTATAAATAATGCTCATTCATTCATTCATTCATTCATCCATTCATATGAAGGTTACTATTACTTGGCTTTTTTTTTATCTCCTGCTATAGGAAAAAAACATATCATTTGAACTGATGCAGAAGTGATGTGATGTCATATCACAATTACATGTTGAACTTGATGTGTATGTATAATATATATGATTCATGTGAACATGTATATGTTGTCTCTTGTTACGTCGCCTGATGTTATTCTAAGCTGCAGTGATGAAATAAGATCCAGCAACACTGCTGGATTACTGCTGCGCGCCATCTGACTGGGTGACTCATGAGTTCTTACTAAGAGTGTTTGTCATTCTGTTGCGTTTTTTCCCTTGAAGCCGAGTTGATCGGATGAGGGGCGGGGCGCAAACCCCAGCTCTGTGGTTGTAAAGTTCGCAGTTCAAACGGCTGAGTTTGAGGAGAACAGCTCTGAAGTTTAATGGCTTTGATGGTCATTTGAACGTCTATGGCAAATCATTCTTCAGATAACAGACATTGCTATGACATTGACTACGTCCAGTACGGACAGCCCATCACATCTGGGGTGATGTTCTCGTCCGGTGTCCTGGGCAATATCGTGGCGCTGGTCCTGTTGGAGTTGCGGCGCAAGCAGACCAGTCCGTCCCTGTACCGGAGTCTGGTAACTGCGCTCCTCACGACGGACCTGCTTGGTTCCATCTCTGTCAGTCCTATTGTGCTGACATCTTATGCTCGGAATACATCTCTAGTGGGAATGAATTCAGACAAGGTGCTGTGCTCCTATTTTGGCTTCAGCATGACCTTCCTGAGCCTCTCCACGCTGGCGATCCTGTGCGCACTTGCGCTCGAGCGCTACATCTCCATAGGTCACCCTTACCTTTACGAGAGGCACCTGAGTAAACGCTTTAGTTACATCGCTATTCCTCTTATTTACCTGAGCAGCATCCTGTTCTGCGTCGTTCCTTTTTTCGGTTTCGGTAAGTACGTGCAGTACTGCCCGGGGACATGGTGCTTCCTGGAGATGTGCCACGATAAAGGGGGGACTATAGTTTACATCGTATTGTACGCATCTTTCATTCTCATCATGATGTCCAGCACGGTGGTGTGCAACATATCAGTCATTATCCACTTGGTGAGGATGCACAGGAGGCGCAAAGGACGCAGTCGTGCAGTGTCGGCGCACACCAGGTACCACAGGTCTCTGTCCATGACGGAGGAAGTGGAGCATCTCCTGCCGCTGGCGATCATCACTGTGGTCTACATTTGCTGCACCTTTCCATTAGTGGTAAGAGCTCTGCCTCGAGAGATTAAAAAATGTATGTATTTATGTTCGTGGATGTGCAGCAGTCTTCCATCATGTTGGTGTGTCTGGATAACTCAATCATGTTCTCAGTCGGAAAAATTAGCCTACTCGCCCCAGCCTGCTTTTGTTTTTGTTCTTCTATTCAATCCTGACTCTACGGGTAAAAAAGTTATATACATGATTTCATAATTAATTCAAGGTCTCATAAACAACAGACCGCTTTCCCAAAAGAATTAATCACAATGCATTTTCACAGAACAGGAAGGAAACTCCCTCTTTTCACTTTTCTAGCAAGTCGGAATTTTTAATCCTCAAAGGACAAAAACCATTAGTCTTTGTTTTCAGTTACTATTGAAAATAAATCTAATCTCCTAATATACCTTATATGTTTTCTCCATATCAGTGGTGGGAGCTTTCACTTAGCCCAGCAACATGTCAATGATTTGTAGATAAGCAGGGCCACATTAAATTGCCACAGGGTCCTGGGGCAAAAAGTTGCTTTTGACCCCATAAAAACAAATACAAAAATACAGAGTGGGTTTGCTCATTTCAGTTTAGCTTTTTTTTTTTATTTAAAAGGATATCGTTTTAGTTTGTCTTAAATTAGTGTCAGTAGGCCTGTTGGCTTTATTTTTTATTATTTTTTATTATAATTTGGGGTGGGGGTGGGGGGTATTTGTCAGACAACAACACAACAACATGTCTACATGACTTTGACTCAGTTGCCACAATTACCTACACGGAGATAGATATATATATTGATCCTTACAGGAAATTACTTTATACGGCAGCTACATTCACACAAACACAAACAGGAGACACCATGGTGCTATATTGGGGCTGAATGTTTTGTACTTGAAAAAATAAACTGAAAATTCAAGTTTTGATCTTGAATTTTGAAAAAAAATACATCAGTGTATTCAAGATAAAAATAAGTGTACAAAAAGTTTTTTCAGGTTAAATATAATTATGATTCACTCTGGTTCATTTTTCACTTTCATATATTTAGATAGTTGAGATCCTATTTCTTTCAGTTGCACGTTTTATCTTTTCAAATCAAATTCAGATCTTATTTTTTACAGTTTCAAATCTTTTTTTCACTTTCAGATCCTTTCTTTTCAGTTTCAGACTTTTGGCCCTGATCTAGCGTGGGGGCGTGGCATCAACTGAGAGGGGTGTGGAATAATGACAGACAGCTTAACAAAAAGCCTAGGGACCTTCCCCTATCATGTTGCCTTCAGGGAACGTAGGAACTAAAACAATTCAACTCAACACTTTATGTAGGCTACACGATGTAATTGGCAGTAAAAAAAACTTATGTCAGTGACAAAATTCCATTTGTACGGCATGCACAAATATCCTGCACGGCTAAATCTGTTTTAATTTCCACTGTAAGGCTAAGGCTGTTAATATGTCACTTTATTAAGTTTTAATATTCTTCAATACATGGTAAGTTTATCTAAATATCGCCGTTTTTAAAATTTACTCTGACATTTTCGGATTTCAACATAGCACTGTGAATGCAACGCAATGATGGAGAGCCATACAGTCTTGCGATGATGGAGTCCGGTTCAGCAGGCCCACCTGCTGGAGCCAGCACACAGGAGAAAAATGTTCAAAAAGAGGTCGTTTTGTGACAACATACAATGTTTCTGACATCTTTAAGTGGTGAACTGGCAAAGCTGGAAGTTAAGCATAAGTCAGCTTATATTACAGCGGTGCCTGGATAGTGTGAAGTGTGTGGTTGTGCTGCTGCCGTGGTCCTGCCAGATGCCTCCTGCTGCTGCTGTTATCATTAGTCATACTTCTACTGTTATTATACACATATGATTATTGTCACATATGTATACTATCAGATATTAATATATACTTTCAACATATTGTACCACAGTAGCCAGAATTATAGTTAGAATATTATTACTTTCATTAATGTTGTTGTAAGCTATTAACATTATCGTCTGTCCTGCATTTCTCTCTGTGTCCGTCTCTGTCTCTCTTTCTGTCTCATTGGGCTCTAGTTTCCCGGCGCAGCACAGGGTGGCGAACCCCACACAGAGCTAGTTTCAAGCAGCACAACCCGAGGCGCGCTCAGTTTGGTAATTTGGCAGACTGAGGTGTGCTGAGATGGGTGTGGTGGCGCAGCAGGGGGAGGTGTCAACAGATCCAGCTTGGCGCAGTGACAGTTTAGTGCCAAAAGGCTTCGCCGAAGGTGTGCTCAAAGCTCGCCAGCTGAAACCAGGTCTACTGTCAGCGCAGGCGGAGCGCAGCCGGTGTAAGCCGAAGTTTGGCTGACCAGCGGACAGTGCACACACGTCACCAAAACCTCACAGGCAGGTTTCCAGAATATCAGGCACATTAACGATGCAATAAACCACTATTCAATGCAACTATCTGCAATCTATCTGCAATTGAGTAAACTCTTATTATGCCTTTGCTTGGCGCATTTAAGGGCGAGGAGAGGGGCCCATTTGATTGGTGAGATGTGTGTAAAACCCACTCCACGCCTTCTCTCCTCCCTCTTTCCGACTTGCGCAGGTAGGAGGGACGGAGGTGGGAAAAAGGAGTAGCTGTGCCAGGCGCACGGTGTGCCAAACTTGCAAAATCCGCCCGGCCACACCCAGTTGGCGAAGCGCAGGTGCGCTGCGCCCCCGCCTCGCCCGGTCTGCGAAACTAGAGCCCAATGTGTCATAAGGATTACTGTTAATTTATCATGTTGATCTGTTCTGTACGACATCTATTGCACGTCTGTCAGTCCTGGAAGAGGAATCCCGCCTCAGTTGCTCTTCCTGAGGTTTCTACCATTTTTTTCCCAGTTAAAGGTTTTTTTGGGGGGAGTTTTCCTTATCTGCTGCGAGGGTCCTAAGGACAGAGGGATGTCGTATGCTGTAAAGCCCTGTGAGGCAAATTGTGATTTGTGATATTGGGCTTTATAAATAAAATTGAAAATTGAAGCATAGGGCTAATGCACTCGCACTCACACTATACATCTATTTGTGATATGAACTCACTAGAACTCGCGAAAGTGGTCAACAACTAGCCAGAGCCATACCAGCTGTGGGTTTGTTTACTGTTACCATAGCAACCGTTGCTAGTGTTCTTGTTTATTAGCATGTCGCCAGCTTTCTTCTTTACACCCATACTGTCACTCATAGCCTACACCCACACACTCGTACATACATCCCGTTTCCCCTGTTTTGATGTATTGTTTGAGTTGTTTTTTGCTTTTGGTTTTGTTTTTTTTTTACATTCATTATGTTTAAAACATGATCATAATACATATATAACACCAACTAGTGAAATTACCTTCAAATTAACATAAATAAAAAACAAAAATAAAATTCCATGACCTCTATAACCTGGCCATCTCTTGATCTACAGATGAGGATTCCTGTTCCTGCTTTCCTCCTTGCTCTTGCTGTCCCTGAGAGAGGTTCTCTGTGGGCACATTTATAAGTCTCTGTGCAGATGCAGCAACTGTTGGATTATTGTTGACATTCTGGCAAGCACAGAATTTAATAAATATAATATACATTAATGGAAAAACTCTAAGCCTTTCCAGCCTTCTTTGGCTCATGACCCCACTTTGAAAAACTTTGGTGACCCCAGACGACCACAGACACTTTTTTTGTATGTTTTAATATGTTTTTTTGATCAAGGCTTCAAACTAATGTTGAATAAACAATGAGTCAAATTGAACAATAAATAATGAAAAAAGCTATGTAGCTACAAATATGGGCTATATCTGTTTAAAACATGTATTATAATGCTCTCTCTTAACCCGCCATATTTAATTGGGCGGCTGAGTTTGTGTTTTTAACATTATAAAGATGAATTTAATTGTAATTGATCAATTATTTAAGTATCTGGCAACCCCATTTGAGGTCCTGACCCAAGGTTGGGAACCATTGCTGTAAGGAGTACAATTCACAAACACTAGCTGATAGCATCAGGCCAAAGTCATACTGTAGCAGGGATCGACGTTTTCCACTGCAGGCTGCTGCAGGTTTTTTCAGCACCCCATGCATTCCCGCAGCCAAAACAGCACTGCCCTTATTCCATTTATTACCTCAGGAGGTAAGGAGGTTATGTTTTCGCTGGCACTGGTCTGTTTCTCTTTTTGTTTGTCTGTTTGTTTGTTTGTCTGCAAAATAACTCAAAAAGTTATAAACAGATTTTGATGACATTTTCAGGAAAGGTGGATAAGGGGACAAGGAACAGATGATAAAATTTTGGTGGTGAAGCGGTTGAAGCAAAGTGGATAAAATAATAAATAAAGTCTATTGTCTGACAGCCTCAACAGCAATTCCAATTTCTAATGAGACTGTGAAAATAGCGCCATCTGGTGGCTGGAAAGCATGTCTTGTTCTATTTGCTAAATATTGTTGTAATTCTAAAGTTGAAATTAATGTTCTGTGTTGGAAAAAAAGAAAGTGAAAAACATAAAAAAAACATATTATATTCTGTGTTGGTACAAAATAAAAAAGAAATAAATACACCACAGTGTCTCCATGATGAAGGCATATAACCTAATAATGATAGTGATGCAAATAACCTAATTGGGATGCAGGCTGCAAAATCTGATGCAGAGGGGGAGGGAATATCATCTACTTGGCGGAGGTCTGCACTCTCTGATTGCTTTTCTAGTTTATTATCTGTGTTTTTCATGCAGTAGCTACGTACTACTGTCTGAATGCTAAATAATGTTAAGCTACTCAATGCTAACGTTAGCCCTATGCTTAACTTCCAGCTTTGCCAATTCACCACTTAAAGACGTCAGAAACATTGTATGTTGTCACAAAACGACCTCTGGTTTTGAACATTTCTTACCTGTGTGCTGGCTCCAGTGGGTGGGCTTGCTGATCCAGACGCCATCATTGCAAGACTGTATGGCTCTCCATCATTGCGAGCGGACACTGCGCTGCGTTCACAGTGCTACGTGGAAATCTGCAACTTTATGTTTATAACATAACTGTACATTAAAG